GGTTTTTTACGATTGTTGAGACGAAAATTCATTATGAAAATACTGATTGTATGAAATTTCACAGTCTTAAAGTATTGAAATATGCTTGAGATTCCACAGTTGATAAGACTTAATTTTTATCTCTTATAACATTATTATTACGATTTACGAAATATGAAAATACGAATTTCATCACGAAAGCGGTCTCTTACAAACGACATAAGTTGGTATACGCCATATTATGTGGCATCCAGCATCATCCCATTCTCCCATATTACCTCTGTAATTAACTAGCGTACATCCGGCACCACCACAACATCCATCTGGCTGCCCTCGTCTATAATTCGTAAAGACTACAGGCGATCCATCTTCCCAATTCGAAGAGAAGCCTGTACGATGATATCCAATCCAATATGCAGCAGCGCCGACCAGGCCTAAAAAAATGGTTTGTTGAATTTGCTCAACAATTTGGAAAATGGAGAAATGGTAAGAAGATATTGTAAACTTACCATTTACATAAGTCATTTCTGCCATTGAACCGATCGATGTAACTGTCCCACCAAGCCTACGGCATTCTGCGCTAGCTGTGAAGAAATTGTATGAACTACGACCCTGAAGGCTCATATGATAGATAAATGAAGAAGGATTGAAGTAAGAAAAATCTGATAAAAAATTTTATGAAAAAACCTACAACATAATAGCATGCATTAAACTGTCCATTAAATATCCATGGAGAGGGACATCCTAAAAGAATTTTTTATAAATCGACCATATAAAACAAATTGTCTAAGAGTGTTAAATAAGAAAGCAAGCGCTTCAATCAACTCATTTTCATGTAATTTGATCGCAAAAAAAATAGACAATAAAAAAATTGCGACAGCTATTGCAATCTCGCAGAAAAAAAAACCTCCAGCACCTGGTCTTGGTGTTGCTATTAGAGGGTCCGGAAGACATTGTCCATTAACGCAAACCATTCCTGCTGGACAAGTAGAACCGGGACAAGCTTAAAAGTGGTAAATAAACGCTTTCTTATTTTAAATGAGCGGGAATGAAAAATAAAGAGTAATATTATTATAAAAGTAAAACAACAAAACACATACCTCTTGTGTCCCTTACACATTTATTAAGGAAACAATGTTCAAATACTCTGCACTGAACATCGCTAGTACAGTCTGCAATAGTGCTTTAATTTAAATTGAGTACGGAGTCATTTACCAGGTAAGTCAAAATAAATGAACTCAATAGAATAATTTCAGGTGAACTTTTAACTGGAATTATTGCGATTTAGCATTTTTATACGCTATTATTCGGAATTTTTGAGCTTTGTCTCAATTATAGTCAAACGTTAAAAAATCCGAGTTGTTCTCACAAATCAACTATTTCCATCTTAAAGTGATTCAGTGAATGGTAATAGAATTGCTTTTATCACACAAACAGCAAATGGAACAAGGCTCTTAACTAGAATTGCTTAAAAATGAGAGTGTTGATGGCGAATTATTTGTACTTCCATTGTCAAGGGACTCCCTGGTATATTTGCCTGCGCGATAAGGCAACGGAGTGAGTCCAACCATTAATGGTGAACATTCTTTTAAAAAAATCGAAGTGAATACCTGTAAATGAGCTAAAAGGATCATTACGGCGAGCAACAAGTGCATCCAATTCCCTTAGCAAATCCCGGTCATTGGGCCGCTGCTGCCCTTGTGCTGGCGGAAATAGCGGCGGTAGTTGCGGTAGTTGTAGTTGTGGCGGCAGCTGCTGCTGCAAAGACAAATCAGCAATGAAGCAAAGAAGAAGTAAGGTCAGCATTGCCGAATCAGTCAAATTCAAGCAATTTTGTTCCTGTGTTATTGCCGATGGCTTTTAAATCAAAATGGCATGTAACTAAAAAAACTTTGGTGCATGTTTACACTTAGGTGACATGCACATAATCTCTTTCAGAAACTACAATACAAGAAAAAATTATTTTATATTCAGCGAAAGAAAATTAATCGAGGTTTTCAATTAATCGAATGATTTGGTGAAAATATTTTCAAAGTATCGATGAGTCGCATTTATTTATCAAAAAAGAGGTTGAAAATATGAAACGAAGGTAAAAAATATTCATAAAATTCGTATCCTTTAAACATTAAAACGAATTGCAATAGTAATCCATCTGATTGATAATTTTTTAATCCCGAAATATCGCCGATTAATGGTGCGATTTTCATTTTCTCATGGCGTACATTGCTGCTTTTATTCGAATAAAATCACTTCTTTGTTCATTCTTGATTCCATTTTAAGGATTTGACATTAATATCTGTGCTTCTCTTAAAAATTGGTTGATTTCTGGCCAGGAATAACCCTTTCCTAACTTCTGATTTTGCCACTTTCTATGGCGATCCAATCTACACGTCGAAATATTATACTGCCATCACACAACTATTCAACCTTGCTTATATTATATTAAACTTATTTTTTCCTTGGACTTTATATTTGTACAAATTTTTTTGTGCATATTTCTAACTTAGAGAATTCCCACTGCTACCGATAGGCCCACAGACCTATTTTTTTAATATATTTTTTTGCGAAGTACAGCTATTGGGATGTTAAACAATCTGCATGCCAAAATATAAAGGTTAACAATAGAGTATGAACCTTGCGTCATATGTACTTTTAATTCCATTTTAATGCACATACATTTTTAATATTTTTAATACTAATGCGCTTTTCTGGCCCTTTTGCTGAATTTTTCATAGTTCATTTTTCATAGATAGGATCGCTCGTAGTGATATCAATCTGGTACTTGGGAACCATTGCTATGGAGAGGAACTTCACGAAGAAATTTTTCTTAAGAAGTTAAGAAGGGGAAAAATGATTCAAATAAGAAGTGTGTTATACAATTGTATGTGGTTACCAGCATGCTAAATAGTTACAAATTCTGATAATTTTCAGTGAATTTGATTAATTCGAGAATGTTGCACAATTATTCAGAAAATTAGAATATAGCACAATGGATGATAAATTTTCGCCCTATAAAATCATCGATAAAATGGTAACTTTTCAAAGTACCAAAGGTTTTGGTAATTTTGTGTGTAACAGTTAAGAATATTGAAATTTTTAAATAAAATATCCTTTCAAAAACGAAGATACCACCGAGATGAATTCTATTTTTGACCTGAATGTACTTATCCTTAGATCGTGAAAAATATGTGATAATCAGTTAGTGGTTGGAACTCACTATTTCTGGTTATGTTACATGTTCTTTCCCACTAGCGAAGAGATATTTTCATCAGCGACTCACATGAAGATAGAAATTCGATTGGTCGACAGTGTAATCAATTTTGCAATTTTTTAAATTTCTTATGTGTTTTACTTAATTACTATAATAAATTTCCAAAGCACAGCAAACATTTCCAACATATAAATTAGATTTTTTGCTGTAAATTGGAGAAAAAATTTTTTTCCAGTGAAGGTATTTTGTTATAATTCTATCTTATTGTTTCATACAGTGAAGTTGTTGGTTTGGTTTTTCAAAAATTGCCTTAATCCATTTGCTACCTTCCATCTATAAATGTTTTATGAGTGACAGCAACAATAGCACATAACAATCGCTGTGTTTCCTTTCTATTTCATGATTTCTTGAAGAATATTGCTATAAAATTGGATCATATCGCTATTCGTGGATATATGTTGGACTACTGGCCACGATTTCTTTATTTTAATTTTGGCACATCTTTATGAAAATATTAGATTGATTTTATTGAAATATAAATTCTATATAATATATAATATAAATTCATCAATGCTTTTTGGTACAATATTTGGTATGCTTTTAATTAAATTATTTTGCAGCAAAATAAATTTATTTCTGATGGTATCTATGCAAACAATTGGATTTTCCATTGAAATAAGAACCATTGGATAAAATTCTTTGGCTATTTGAACTCGAACTTTGCCTTATTGGTAGCACCGATGAAATGTTTATAGAATTCGCCAGTCGTGGATAGACATACAAAGATAGTTCACTGCTTATTTGCATTTGAATCGGATCAATCTGCGGTGAATCAACTTTTATTACAGGAATATTATTGGAATAATGCTGAACTTCGAAAAAAAATTACCAGAGGTTTTTCTGGTGAAGATGGTGGACTCTTTAAATTATTCAATGTTTGAATAGTTGGACCGACTAATTGTGTGAAAGTCGGCGTATTCCTGGAAATTTCTAGTCATCTAGTGCAGCTTTTAATCATTTTAATTTTTCATTAAATTTTTGTTTATATAATTTTTTAAAACTTGCCAGATATTTTTCGTGTCTGCTTTTATTACGTTATTCGAGAAGACTCGATCTCTACGATTAGCGATGAATTTCACACAGAAAAATAACAATACAGTTGCGCTGAATAAAATAAAGCTCAAAATATACACTAATTGCATATTACTTATAGTACGCCTGCATGCAGATGCGTCACATACAAGTGAAGAACAAAATCTGTAAAGTAAAATCGTTAAATACGCTAATGTAAATTAGAATCATGAAAAATGTTGAATTATAATGTCCCAACAAATTTACACGATTGTCAACAGTTCTTGAGAATTTGCCAAAGATTCCTCAACTTAAATCAATTCAAGAAAAATCATTAAAAATTCTAGCTTACCAAAATATGAAAAGATACCTTTCTGGCCCACAGTCACATTCTTCCGACGGTTCCAAAACACCATTACCACATATCGGCAAAACTGTTGCAGGCAGTTCCTCTGGTGGTGATTGTATGCATGAATGCCAAGGCAAATTATCAACAAGAGCTTGAGCTGAACAATCATTGTCGTAACCACTAAATTATCGCAACTAATTTTTTATTTCCAGATTAATGCAATTTCTGATTGGTCAAGAAAAATAATGAAATAATATGGATTTAAAATTTTCGTTATTTCAGTAACATACAAGTGAAGAACAAAATCTGTAAAATAAAATAAAATCGTTAAATCGCTTCCGAATCATTTCATTTTCTGAATCTTTTAAGAAATCTCCTTAGACTTTTCGTACTTCGTTGTTTATGATGGAATATTTTTATTTTCTCTCTCAATAGAAAGATGAATGAAAAACGGAAAAATTAAAAATTTAAAAGTTCAAAAAAAATTTACTCGATTTTCAAACAATTTCCCAACAGTTCATAACTGCATGAGCATTCAGTTTTGATGTCGTGTGGCACTCCCAATAGGTGAGCTAATTCATGGAAAATTACTGAGGAATATTCCATGGATGATTGTGGATAGAACTAAAATCTATAATAATTAAGCTTTCAGATGCTTAATAATGAAAAAGTTTATAGATAATCGCTTTCCAGCTATTATAGAAGATATGAACGTAATTCGAAATCACGCAAGATGCTCATGCCACAGAAAATAATTTTTTTCGCCTATCAAGCGACGGCAATCGGACCGAAACTTATCATCATTCAATCGAAGTAATACATACTAAAACAAATATGAGTTCCGTAAATTGATTATAAAAAACTATTCGGTAACCATTTCAATTTGAACTCCTCCCCAATTAAAACAAAAAGACAAGTTACTCCTGTGATTGCAATCGCATTAGGCCCACAAATTCCGCCAACGTATGCGATACCTCCGTCGAAACTTCTACTCACAAGCATCAGTGCATCATGTTTCGCCATTTTTGTTAAACTCTGTTTTCGATATTTTCCAATTTGCTCGAGAGTTAAGTTATAGCCAATCACTTTAACCACATCAACAACGATTATGCGTATATTCAGCTGATAAATGTACTAAAAATCGTTCCATTATTGATAATTTTTCAAGTGATAATTTTTCAAGTGATAAGTGATAATAAAAAAAGCAACAAAAGTACGGCATGAAAAACTTTATATTTTATATTCTTGACCATGCATGTCTGTCCTTAACGTAAGCATATTCAACCAAATTTAAAAAAAATTTCTAAAGGGATATTGAATATTTTTTTTACCAAATTTAAGCCCTGTATAAGCTGCCGCATAGCTATTTTGGTTCGTTTCATCTCGTTCCCGTAATATTGACTCTAGAAAATCGAGTCGATGAAATAAAAATCAAATAACTACCAAAATTCGAAAAGTAATAAAATTACGATAGCACTACAATAAACTTACTGTTGACATATCCACTAGCAATAATAACTCTATGTAACGAATGGCTCCATCAGTTTTGATAGTCTTCCAATTTGGAATACCGGACATTGCCAGCAAATTTTCGTTTTGATCCCAGACCTGAGTTGATTATTTTTAGTTCTTGCCATTATTATAAATTGATGTGCAAGAACGATGAATACTTGGTGGTAGGGTGATCCATTCGTATTTTTAAGTTTTTTAGTGGCACTGTGGAGAAAAATAATGTGGGGAATGCGAAGAGTATAATATAACGACCGTTCAAATTAATTCTTAAGAGACATGATTGCAGCATTGGAAATTGTATTTACCATATATATCCTATTTATTACAATATTTAGTTAATTCTACTTACTTTGGTATAGTACTGCTTAATAGTTTGTGCGCCACGAGAACCTTGGTCGAAGTCAATCGCGTAACAAAATTGTTGATAGAGTGCCAAAGGTAGAAGAAACACATTCATTGCTCAAATAATTTTTTATAAGAACAATGAGTACATTGAAGTTCCACGATGATAACGAAAAAGAACCGAGAGAAGATCTTCTCCGTTCGATCTGCTACTGACGAAGCAAAAGAGAAGCACTTGCTGTCAATATAAAATTTAAAATATGTAGATTGAGTATCTTTACAAGTATGAATTGCAGTAAAAATTTAGGAAATAAAATAGCCAAGTGGATGGAGACTGGAATTATTCCTTGAGGAGCAAACGATCTATTCTCAACAAGAGTAATCCATTCATCAAAAATTCTAATGGTGCTAATGCCCATCTCTGCTTAAATCATCGTCAAAATAATTCCATTGCTTAAAAATTTCTACCAAATAGCCAAAGTCTAAGGAATAATATTTATTCAATTTTCTTTGCTATAAAAAAATCAGAAATGTTGATATCCCCTTTGAATTATAAGTTGTAAGAAAACTTGAAATATTTTTTAGATAGTCAAGAATAGTCAAGAATAAATAGAATGACCAATGAAAAAACTAATAATAAAAAAAATCGCTGGCTAATTACGGTAATTTCGTTAGAGAGTCATTTGAACTTACACATGGACCCACATGATCACCAACATTTCTATAATTTAATTCACCATCGACGGAACCCTGTGGCTTAAACATCTCGTCATTGCTATTGGACAAGTATTTAGAAAGAATTCTTATCAAATTCTAAAAAATTATGTATATAATAGCTTGGGTGAAGATGAATTCGCCAGGAACGTGTTCTATAATTTTCTCAATGATTAATTAATAATTGGTGAACAAAAGAAATTAATCATGAGAACTTTTGGAATGGTTTCGTTATGAAATTAATTATGAGAACTTTCTATCTTATTTAGCAAATAATTAAAATTATCTGAGATTCATCTCCTTTTTTTCCACTCTATATTAGTGAAAATTTAAGAAAGTATAAAATTACCATTTATTAAGAAAAAGGAAGGAATTTTGAGTTAAACTGTGATGTGTTGTGACCTTCACTAATTTTATCATTTTTAGATTTTATCAGCAGCATATTTAATTGCGGAACAGCCAATAACCAATCATATAAATTAAAATATAGAAAATGGTATATACCATTAAATACTAAATAATAGGTTCATTCGGCTGTTTCTATGTGGTGTTGAGAATTACTTTTTGGTTATCTTTAAGTAATTCTTTAGCGAAAACAATAGAATTAGCCAAATCAGAAGGAGAAGAAATCTATAGTATTATGAATAATACAGAAAAGCGTAATTAATTAAATTTGAACTACAATTCTATAATTTAAATAATTTTTAAAAAAATAAAAAAATAAAAAAAGTTAATTGAATATTTTCCTCAAATCTCATTACTAGGTAAATGAGAATGCGAAAATGAATTTTCTTAATTTTGACTAAAAAAATTTAAATAATTTTAATTTAAAAATAAATATGTCATTTAAAATACTTTTCCAACGAAAATTTTCAATTCAATTCATTTTATGAAAATTTATTTGAAAAATTTAGTTGCGGTCAATTACGAATGATTAGCCGTTCAGTTTCAAGTGCTGTCAATGGTCTGTTTTTTATGAATATTTTTAGGGCAATCCATGATACTTTTTACAGAACATGGAGAAACAAGTGAGAACGAACCGTTCAAATAAAAATTAGTGTTCATATGCGCAAGTAATTTTCTGATGAAATGCTCTTATCTTTCTTCTAATCAGTAAGGTAATCGGTATAAGTAATCGGTATATCGCACCATTTTTAGTTAAGTTAACTCTATTAGCTCTTAGTACAGTCACACAAATTTTAGTCATTTAGCTAAAAGTGGAGTGAATGGATAGGCAGCACCACTAGACTTTTTGACTTACTCTTTTCAAATTTACTCTTACGAAAGTGGAGAATGAGCCGAACCTTTACATTCCAACTTGATAATCTAAATTATTCTCCGTTTAACCCCTAATAGTTTGTGGAACCAGAAATTCAAACCAGAAATGTGCAGCTAGAAAAAAAAAGAAATATATTGATAAAAATGAATTATTGAAAATCCGACCGGTAAATATATTTTTTAAGTTAAAAACGATGCCAAAGAAAACGAAACAACTGATTCCAATAATAAAGTAAATTCACTGATTATTGTACCTGAGAAATCTGGGAAAAAGGATGATGCGACGAAACATCTCGATTCCGGTTCACTATGGTTGATTATCAACCAAATCTTTTTAATTTTTGAATATTTTAATGCAAATAAAGCGGTTCTTGCCCGATGGTACTAAGAATTCACCTACAGTCCCCAAGTAAAGAACCCTCAACAGCCAGTACAGCCAACAAAACCAGAAATTGGATGTAGTTTAAATATCTCGACTAACTTAAAAAAAAATCGATGTGCATATTTTATAACATTTTCAGCAGTAAATAAATTGGCCTTAATTAAATTTTAATTTTTAATTTAATAAATTCTACCTATTATTTTCATAATAGTACAGCGAAAGCAAAGTCATCATCGGATTCATGGGAGGACGAAAAAAAAATGTGCCGAATTTGTCAATCAGAAACAGGAGAAATGGTTCGACCGTGCGCTTGTACCGGAACTGTGAGATTTTTGCTTTTTTTGGCACTAAAGGCAAAAATACTAAAGTGACAATGTCATATTTGACGCAAACTTTTGATGATATTATGTTCAATAAAATCTCACTATTTATTTTCTAAGATTTGTTTTACGGCGATAAAACAAAAATAAAAATCTCAGATGGCTAACATTCATCATCACTGCTTGAGAGAATGGTTGATAAGATGTGATAATAACTTAATTTGCGAAATATGCCATGAGGAATACTCGAGTTCTGGCAATCTACTTCAACCAATTTGGAAATGGAAAAAGCCGAATATCGAAGTGACTGTTAGATTTTTGAATTCTTGATCAAATCTGCTTTCGAACTTCATAGCATAATGTAGTGCACAATGAGAGGATCTTGAGGAATTCGGTTGCCTGAGCCCTATCCTAATTTTTTCATTTCCACATATTAATTAATCTTTTCCAACTATTATATTTATTACATTTCCAACATTTATAAAACATATAATAATTTGGGCAGCATTTCGTTATTTGCTAAATCGTGTGACGGTTGGCGTCAAAAGCGAGGTGAGCCAATCAAGACCTGGACTGATACGGTGAGGAAAGATTTTGAACGTATAGGTGGAGCAGCAATATATGGACTTAGACGATGGAAAAAGGAATGGCTTCCATTACTGTCGACGATGGCATCAGACCACGCCGCTTGTCTTACCCGTTGGAACCAGCCTAACCAGTAATGGTGAGAACTGTTAGAAGAAGAAGAAGAATTTGGGCATTACTAAATTATATACAAAAAAAAGTCGAATAAAATTTTAATTTCTTTTTTTTTCCATCTAAAAGAGTTCATCTCTTCTTTAACTGGTTTCATTGAGTACCAGAATAAAAAGAGTTTTCCATTAGCTACTTCAACTAGCCACCAAAGTACCCAGACTTTTAATGACAGCTTTGTTCCCCCCCCCTCTCCCCTCCCCCCTGAAACAACCTTCCATCATAATGCCTTTGCTCCACTGCGAATAACCTGATGTCAAATCGGCGGTAAAAATTTTAATGAAACATCGTTGTTACTACTTCTGTTTTCGTTATATAATTCCCAACATACCATTGCAATCACAAAGATTTTCTTCATATAATTTTCTATGAATTTTTTCAAGAAAATATGAAGGAATTTAAGAAATTCATCTTGAAACCCAAATTTTTTTGTTCATCCATGGAAGCTCTTCCAACAATATTCCACGATGCAGTGTTACTAATCTCACCGTGGAATTTTTTTGCATAAACTTCTTTTTCAGCAATATTGTTTCACGTATTACCAATCTTTTTTCGTATTTCTCATAAATATTGAACTATTTTGCTATAATAATTATTATAACAAATATTCTAACTATTATAATTGCAGAATGTAATTGAATTGTTCTTAATATTTTGCCTATCCGTTTGTTTATGGTATATGATAACACTGATAATTGAGAGGAAATTTTTTGAACGAGTCATCATTGCTCAATTACCAATTCGCGCACCCGATGTAATTCGATCGTGTATGTCATATTTTCGAAAAAATGGTATTTGTAGTGAAAAAGGGTTTGCCTCCTGATGTCATCGCTCATTTTTCCAAATTACGCAATCTTGCTTTTTTAGTTTCACCTCCTTTAAGCAACTCAAAACTGGTTATTTCGAAATCAAATTTTCGAAAAAAAATGGATTTAAGGACCAAATAATACCAAAAAAATAAATTTATGTTCAAATGGTGGATCTGATAAAATTTCAGTGATCATAATTTCAATTGTTTCAACGCTTTTCGCTGGATTAACAATTGTATTTACACGAATATGGCACTATATCAATAGACAACGTTCAATACGATTCATTAATTCGGAAGTGAACAACAGAAAATAAATCACCAATTTCAAGTTCACTTCAGGCAATAAAATGGAATAATCTGTTTTCCAAAAAATTAATAAAAACAATTCAATTGCATGAAATTTTCCCAATAGCACGATATTAATTATTGTAAAAGATAAATATATAAATACAATACTTTGAGAAGAAAGTCCACTCACTGCACAACTGGACATGAAATTTCATTAATGAATGCCTTGATGAAAAAATCCAAAATTTGCATTCGATATGCAAGAGATGAATTCTCAAATGAATACTGGAATTATAAAAAGATTAAAACAAAATCACGATATTTCTAGAAAAAGATTTAAAATATAAATCGATTTTCAAAATATGCTCTGAACGTCAAACAAACTCGGTGTCTAAAATTTCGCAATAAACTTTACCGGAGTAATATTAATTAAATCATGCTAATTTTAAAAAATAATAATAAGTGAATACAAATAAGAGAAAGGCGAGAAAAAAAAGTGAGAAATAAGTGAAAAAATGAATATAGAAATAAAATTCAATAATAAAAAAAAACATGAACCTAATTACCTAATGCGATTGTGTCTAATTTTAGTGGAATGAAATTGTACAAAAAATTTTGTAACGATTAATGGAATATTACACATTAAAATTATAAAGTATAAATGCCGAATAAAAAAGACAGTGAATTGACGATTCAAGCCTAGATAGCTGCTTCAATTAATTTTTCAATTGTTTTCCCATCGGCTGCAAATCTACGAATGCCATCAGCGAGTTTATCACAAGCCATCGCATCTTCATTCATTTCATAACGGAATATAGATTCTGTTACCGATATTTGCTTCAAATCAGTAAGTGCTGCTACAAAGAAATTACACGAAAGAAATTATACAAAAACCACTCAATTATCTTTAAACTATCTTTAGTAGATTAAAATAGATAATAGATACTAGTAGATTAGATTAGATTAACGATACCACAACAGAACTTTAAGAAAAATAAAAAGGACCAAAAGAGCTCCAACCTTTTTCGGGATTCAAAATAACAGAAATTTGTTCATTATCATTTGATAATTGTTCTAAAAGAGCGCTGCTGAAAAAAAAAGAAGATAAATGATCAAATTATTTGTGATATATGACGTTATTGAAATATTTAGCGAAGATTCAAGGCCAATACGACGATAACGATCAAATTTCCATCTTTTATTTTCATGAAAATATTTCCATGATGAAAGACTTGAAAAATAAAAATTTCCAACCATTAAAAAATTTACCTTATTGTTAACAAATCGCATCCAGCCAATCCTTTAATCTGTTCTGTATTTCGAAATGATGCTGCCATAATTTGAGTATTATAACCGAATTTTTTATAATATTCATAAATTTTACAAACACTCTGAACAGATCGATAAATTAAAAAAAAAAGAGAATCGAAAAGATATATGAATCGAAAAGAAAAGCGAAAAATAAAGAAACATACAACAACACCAGGATCGGTATATCTATTAAACTCTTTCGTGTCGGTATTCTTTTGATACCAATCCAATATGCGACCAACAAATGGGGAAATTAAAGTGACTCCGGCTTCAGCGCAAGCAACTGCTTGGTAAAAATTGAATAACAAAGTCATGTTACAATGTATGCCATATTCATTTTCCAAAATTCTAATTATTACTATTATTATTATTATTGAATTATATGGTATCATTTTCAATAAATTTACATAGAAGAGAATTTCCGATTTGAAAAAAACCAGTAAGAGTCAAAAGCGAACTTGGCCGCTTGAATTCCTTCCCATGTCGAAGGGATCTTGATCAAAATTCGATCCTTCGATATATCTTCTTCTTTGTAAAGTTCAATAAGGGACAAAGCTCGCCTGACTTGTGCTTCCTTATCGAATGCCAGTCTAAACTGGAAATTTTAAGAAAAAAAACACAAAAAAACTGAAAAAATTGATAATAAAATATAAGAATATATTGGTAATAAAAACTGAAAATATATGCATATATATATACATATTTTTTATAAAAATATAAAAGCTATAGAATGATAAAATTAAAAATTAAATTTAAATTTAAATTAAAATTAAGAGATCAGAAACCTGGCATCAATTTCGGTAGACACTCGACCTGGGATAAATTTTAAAATTTCCTTTCCAACAAGAACGAAAAGTTTATCAGTTGCCAGATTAATAACCTGAATATCAATAAAATAAAATAATTACATATCTCTTCCATATGTCACTATTTTTCTATACAATTAAAAATAATTCACATTTTCTCGATATGTTGATTTTGACTTAGCATAATCCACTGAATCTTTAATAAAATGCTTATAGATTTCAAGTTTTGTTGCTGCTAAAAGTAGAGAAGGATTTGTAGTAGCGTCGACCGGTCGAAACTGTTTAATTGCTGCAAATATGAAAATTTTATGACGATTTCAAATAATAGTGATGAATTCAAAATAAAAGTTTCATAAAGTATAACAAAAACGTTTTCTGACAAAAAAGTGCGTTAAAATTATTACCAGCAATGTCGGCGGTATCTGCAACGATCGTCGTAACTTTTCGAATCTGATCCAATACATTAGACATTTTGAATCTGCAAAAACGGACAATCGAAGTATAAAGAAATGTTTTAAATCTCAAAGAAGCATTATGGATAGAGTCGTACGACTAAACGCAAGCAAATCAGTTTCAGGTGAAATCCGTAGAGACGACGCCAACGATGAACGCAACCTATTAAATGAATCTATTCCAATCAGAAACTAATATCGCAACTTTTAAGCCAAAAATAATTCATAATTTAAAAAATTGCATTAAATTAAGTTGAAAAGCAAGTAAAACAAGGGAAAATGCTCGACTTCGTTAAGAATGATTAACAAAGCAATAGGATATATGCGAATATTGCTGGCGAGTGTTTCTATCGCCAAATGACTACCTAGAAAATTTGCCAGGTGCGACGAGCCAGCGGAACGAGTTTAACCAGAAATGGTGAATGCTCTAACTTATGATGAATATGATGATTAAAGTACTGATTACCTACTACTATAACCATATCGAATAATAAGAATAAGCAAACAAATGATACCTTTTCACCTACCTGAACCGAATCCTATTTTTACGCATATCAAATTCTTATCCGTGATACTAATGCGAGGTTTATCAGAGCATTAAGAAGTTTATCAAAGAATTTAGAAAATTGCACTGGGACTGAGATTAGACTCACAAAAAGAGATTTAAAATAATATTACTAATGAACGGTGACTCCCTCAACTGCTTTAAACAGATTATACAGATTATAGAAGATCTAGGTGGCAATTTTTCTTTCCGAATAGCATCAGGCATTTCTAATTTGGCTGGCTTCATTGACTATTAAATTTTCAAGCCTAAAAGTTATGGAAGAATGAAAATATAGGCTGGACCTCAGCACCATATGAATTTCATTTTTAATCCCACTGGTTCAAGGAAAACCACGATGCTCGTCCATAACGGTGTATATCTATGGCCGCTTTATTCCTCGAAATAACCGCATTTCCAAATTCTATAGTATAGGACCATATTTTCAGTAACCCCAACAAAAAATCTACCTGACAAAAATTTCTACCTTGCAAAAAAAATTCTTCAAAAGGTTGCTTGTAACCCATAAAAGACCTGGTATATTTTTACCTAGAATTTAGAATCTGCGTCCGCTAATTAGCTATTGACGAAAAACCGATTCTGACAAATAGATTTTTACGGATTAGGCCTAATTATCGGCCTACTTCATTTTTATCTTTATTTCTCCCTTCGAGGTAGCGATGGTAAAGGAAGGAAAACGGCGGGTTTTGTCGAATTACCAGATTAGACTACGTTTTTTTCATGTAATCGAGAAATTAATGTATGCGTATGGTGACGGGCGAGGACCAATTAAAAGGTTCATTTCCACTTATTTTTCATTTTTAATTTATTTCGTCTTTTCACATAGTTTTCTTTTCTGCGTTTAATCTTCAACGATATGCGCTTGTTTTTTCTTTTTAAGTAAAATTGATCAGTTTTATCATTTTTTCGCGCGTTTCAGTCGTTGAAAGAGATTATTTTGTGTCGTTTATTTATTTCTTCTTGTTTGCGTCGCTCGAAGCTTGCTGGAGGCTTTTGTCGATAGTAAGACTGAAGAAAGAAGCAGCAGTGGTTCGTGAAGATGCCTCACGTAGGAGTTTGAGCCCTTAAGCTCTGCCTACGATCTTCTAGAAGAAATTATGTGAGCTGGTTGAGAAGAACCAGCGCTGTGCAGATTTAGTGGACGCTGTCGTTTCGCTTAGCATTTTGAAATCGTACATCAAGAGAAATACTCGCCAGATGAGAAATACTCAGTTGATTGAAACGTGATGTAACGATATCTAACACATTTATTTATCACTGCGTTGTGATGGAAAAATATTTTTTTCTTTTCTGAAACATCGTTGTACATTTGGCATCATAAATACACATCAAAACTCCAACTCTACTGAATTCCACTATAAGGCTGATTTTATACAATTTCCAATTTCTTTTTTTTTAAATTTCATGGATTTTTTCCTAATTTCTTTATTTTATTGAATTAGATACACTATATTTCTTTAATTTTGTTTTTTATTTGTTACCTAATTTATAAATATTCTTTCTAATACTCATTGCAGTTGTGTTAAATTCGTTTACACCGTGGTGCGACGTCAGTTAATTCATTTTGTGAGCGAGGCAGCAAGCCATGCGAAGAAAAGACAGTTTATTTTTTACTTATATTTTTTTCATTCTTTGTATTTCATGTATGAAAAAAGTATTTCTTACCTTTCCGATTTTGCAAATGTTTTACAAAAATTTAACTTTTTAATAATCTGAATATTCGAATATGTCAAAAGATGAAAAAAAAATCAAAAAATTGGCATAAAAAAACTTTTTTTCAAAAATTTATAGTCTTTATCATCGTAATATACAATCGCGAATATTTAATTTTCTTGTTTTCCATAAATCTTTATGGTCTCCGAGAAATTAAGAAAAGCTAATGAATTTATCAGATTTATTTTTTAAACTTTATTGCACTATCTTTAAAATTAAATTAAAATTGTTAAAATTTTTCAGTAGATCGGTAATTGGTATTGCTGATATTTTATTTTTGTTTCGACGGCATCCTTTTCATGTTAGAAGATTGGTCGATAACTTTAAGCTTCGCAAGGTATGCTTTAATTGTTCTCATTTTTCAGCCCCATTGATTATTTCTGGTTTGGAGTTGAGACTGTTTCATCTGAGAAATTTTTTAGAATAGTATATATGATCCTTGGTAATTCACCATGTTTCCCTGGTGTTCCCTAGTGTAAATTTAGCCAAATTATTAGTCATTTTTTATCTGAAAAATTATCAATCCATAGGCTTAAGTATGTAAAAAGGAAAATATTTCGTTTTACTTTAGTATTTTAAAATCTAATAAAATAGCCGGTGTTTGCAGGCATCTCTTGCTTTTAAATCATATACTGATCATTTTACGAATACAAAAGATGGAAATGATAGTATCGGTACACTATGTGTTGATATGAGCAATGACGTAGACGAAAAAAATGTTTCTGAAAAACAGTCAGCTTTTTTTTAGATTTCATTCATTTAATCATTAATTTTATTATCCAGCATTATCCTTTTTTTGTTTTTATTTCTGTTATTAATTGTTCAAATCAACAAAATATTTTGAAGAACTTTTCCAGTATCACTCACTGAGTCATTGATTATTCGTCCTTTAAATTTTGAGTTGTTTTTTTGCGAATTTTTTTTCTACATTGCGAACTTTTAGAATTCAGTCCATATATGATGCCTTATCAACAATCGATTTGAGAGGAGATTTACTTGCATTTGTACGAGATTCATCAAAAGATGATCATGAAAAATTGGAACGCATGAGAAGACTTTCACAATATGCAGCATCGATGGACGAATTTGAATATCTACAATACTCCAAGGCTCGATGCATGAAATTTGCTAGATCTCGTGTTTCGAAGTTGTTTTTATTATCAATTTTAAATTCCATTTTTTATTTAAAATTTTTTTTCATTCTAAATTTGTTTCTAAGCTTATTTTCATTTTATATCAAATATAACTTCTTTTTCTTTTTTTAAATTAGCCAGTCGATGGCGAATCCTTTCAAAGCGTTAATCATTTTATTCAAAAATATTATTTCAGGAATGATCCGTTTTTAAATTGGGTTGATGGGCCAAAGGTTGAATCGGATGTCATAGCTGTATTAGATTATCTTGCTCATGAAGTAGTTTGTGTACTTGTTGAAGGCGCATTGCGTGCAAGAAGGGAAAATTCGAATGGGTTGATGGGCCAAAGGTTGAATCGGATGTCATAGCTGTATTAGATTATCTTGCTCATGAAGTAGTTTGTGTACTTGTTGAAGGCGCATTGCGTGCAAGAAGGGAAAATTCGAATGTCTTATCAAGTATTTCTTCGGAACCATTGCAACTCGAGCATTACGATGAATCATTAAAAAAGAATAAAGGGTTTATGAATAATGGCGATCTCATTTTCGGTTGTTAATAAATTGATTATTTTTATTTTTATTAAGCGGGTTCTACTTTGCGTATTAGCCAATTACTTAATGTCTGCTCTTCATAAGTAAAAGGAGAAAATTTTTCAGATTTAAAAAAATTAATAATCTTCATAAAAAATAGAAAATGCTATTCTGCTATTATATGAAATTATTTATTTTTTTATACATTTTTGAGAAATCATTTTTTAAATTGATTTTGCGCATTTGCTAATAAAAATTTTAAAAAAGTCATATTCTTTAATTTTTCGCATTCTTTCATGAATATTTTATCTAATCATAATAGCTTAACTCCATTGTTTGAACTATAAATAGAAATTTTATAAAGTTATAAACATTTTTATAAACTGGAATACTGGGATTAAGCTCTTAATCAAATAATGTGGAGGATTTTTACCTTCAACTTGGCGAATAATTTTTGCTTGAGACAAATAAAATTTAACGATACTTTGAGAAAATCCCTATAAATATTTTTTTTAACGTATGTATCTATTTATTCTTGTTGTTTGTAGGAAATTTGATAGCATCTATTGCTTTCAGATAGTGTAAATTCAAATTTTTTAGAAGAAAATTTTTGTGCTTTTTCGTTCCTTGTCCTCCTAAGAAATTGTTACAATGGGATTTTCTTTTAATTAAATTTTTATCCACAAATGAGGTGAATTTGTTGAAAAAAATGCTAATCTCAATTAATCCGTGTTTATTCAACTGAATATTAAATTTTAACTTTTTAACTTTTAGGTTAATATTTAATTTTTATTTATTTTTCGCATGTTTCTGTTTCAAATGTAAGTTTGTTAAAAATATATAATAATATATCTATCGAATATGAAATACCCTCGAATATTCAACCCCCCAAATTCTTCTGTTAGCGTATTGCGAAATTCCAGTCCAAATGTGGTTTTGCAGTAATTTGCAATATACCTCTGAAATTAAGGAGTATATAGTACATCGCTTGACAGGAGTGGTATAGAAAAAAAAAAATGAATTCATTCGACAATAGTCAAAGGATGAGGTGAATTCATTCGCACAGAATATTTTGTTATTATAAAGCCCCACTGAATTTAGAAAGTAGAATGAAGTTCCCATTATTTTTCGTGGGCGAATTTATGAAACGTCCTGTCACCGGTACTAATAATTGGTTGTAGAGTATTACACCATTTGGCAAGCGGCATCACCACACTATTTGTCTGGTTGACATGGTTTATAGTTCCTAAAGGTGTCGATGGCGACGTGTCTTTCCAGTTAAAGCTGCTGTCCCTAGCACGCTGTCCAGTGCAATACACATCTTGACAAGCAAAATCTGAAAATCTGATCGCATTATTCTAAATTCTATTTTCATATTCTAATCATATTCTAATATTAATCGCCGAATTGTTGGATTTCTTTATGGATTATGGATTTCTTTGGATTTGAATGTTCGGGTGAGATAATTTCGCTTTTATCAGACGCAGTCGCGTGCCTTAGTCGCCTTCAGCTAGTACAAAGATGGGTTAGAGCATTGTCTCCTTGGGCGAGCATCACTACCTTATCCCAAATAGCGCATTTCGTGACAGTCCCACTCCTCATCGCCAGCTGAATTTAAATGAAAGACATTCAGTCGAGTTTAAAAAACGATTTATTCACACATCCATAATTTTTCTCAACAACGTTTCATCTTCTGTTCAGGGTCAATAAAAAAAATTTATACAAAGGCATGCACAAATGGAAAAAAAGGAAAATATTTTAAAAAAAGAATCGATTTTTGATTGATAATAACACATTGCATTTTGGACAATAATGATGTACATCTTTACATGAATCCACGAGAAATGGCACGAATGATAGCGGAAAGAAGACTATTAAAATAATTATCACTAGAAGCCATGTTAGTCGACCCGTAACAAATTTTTGTCGTGTTCGCACTCGACACTGAAAAGCCATTTGTCACTTTAAAAAAAATAATCATCTTTGGTTGATCGGAAAATAACTGATAAAGGCTAGGTTGGTGGAATGTTATTTATTTATTAATTTATTTTAAAGAAACATCCCTCCAAGCACCATTCGAAGTAGCAAATTTAGCCCCGTGAAGATGCAGGAAGATGCATTGCTTTCTTTAATCGAGCCATGATTCTCAAAAACGACCGCTCATAAAAAGTGAAGTGAAAAAGTGACCGATAGAAGTACCATAAGTATTTCGAATAATTAGGATAATATTTTTGGTGATAAGATTTACTGCTATTGATTGATGAGAAAGACGCTCAGCCGGTATTTCAACTTTTTATTTAATGGCTCCTTGGTTTATAGCCTTACATAAAGCACGAAATATTTATAAAAATATTGTCATTATCATTATCGACGAAATTTGCAAGGAACCCACCTGACATTTGGGACAAAATTCTTCGTAAGGCTCAGCTGTATCTGCTTTTTTGATAGCACTTGACGCAGCAGCACTTATTTGAACACCACAAGATGGATTAACACCATCTGTACCAGTAACCACAATAACTGGTGGAGACAACGACATGGGATGAATAGTAGCTGTTGTTGACCCGACCGCCGTAGAAGCTGAATTCTCAATGGAGAATGGTGTAGATACAGGAGGTGCAATCCGGCACTGGGAACTTATTTTGATTTCGTTAGATTTATATGGTGGCGGTGGACGTTGTGGACAATATGGCGGTGGTGCTTCTTGAGCTTTTTCTTTCTCCTCAACCATCTGAAATTCATTCAGTTTTTTGCCTTATAATCATTATATTAATTTTTTTTTTAGTGCATAAAAAATAAGTTCCTTTAAAATCGAATTAATCGAAAAATGTATTAAATGAAATTCGCATCGCAAAAACTATATTTAAAACTATATATTTAAAAAAAAATATATGGCAAGTAAGCAATTTTAGTTGTTTAGCTTTCACCATTTCTGGCTTAACTCATTCCATTGACTATTAATAATGTGGACAATTTTGCCAGGAATTCACTGAACAGCCATAAAAGGATCTATAAATAGGATCGCTAGCATCACTCGGAATTTGATTACCGAATTTACTTCACTTTCTGCCTGAAGATGGACAATCTAGGTAACCCATTTTTAACCATAATAAATAAATCTCTAATTTTTTATATATTTTATAATAATATATTCATTTTTTCAATTTTCAATTTTAATTATTTCCAAATTATAATGACGAAAAGTAAAAAATGAATTGGATATGAGTTAAGTTTAGAAAATTTTAGAAGTAAGAAATATTGAGAATATAATGAGCACTTGTCGATATTTTATTATAGTGGGGTCCAATTGGGTTCCTCATGGTTTCGAGGCCATGATTTGATGGTCGCATGCTTAAGCACTGCATTCCATTTTTCAGAGTGTGATTTTTTTTAAGTGGACATTATTCAGTTTAAGTATTATATATTATTATTATTTATATATTATTATAATATATATTATTATAGTATTGAAATAAAATTTATTTCATTGTGGTGCTTACAGTTGAATTCTAAATTATACAAACGTTAATTTCTATAAGGTTATGTTACATATAATATGTACACATCGAAAATCGAAATCGAAATCGAAAAGCTACGCTAAAAAATTGGTTACTGGTGAGCGGTGGCATCAATTTTATGGTAAATATAAGCCCAACTACCATCATCCACATTTTATCAAGTTGTTTTATGAGTTGTTTATGCTATGAAAACAGTCTTATATATGAAATAATTATTTGATAGCCTATATCATGGATACCTGTTATGAAATGGATGGATGGCCAATGAGCAGGGTAGAGCGTTCTCTGGCTTACAACTTCCTCTTGTTTCCTCCACCCTATATTTCCCTTATAATTATAACCATTATAAAAAAAAATTTTTCTCTCACCGCCGTGGGTGGTCATGACCATCCTTAACTTCGCTTTACCAGAGGCCTAGGAGATTGAGGGTTCTGCACCATCGTAGCACTATTCTTAATAGTGCGCTGTTCTAGATAGAGATCTCTGATGTTGTTCTCGAAATCTGCTGAAACCACTTTTAGGGGTCACAGCTCTAAACTCCACTTATCATTGGAATTCCTTCCGCCTTTATTTTCCTCATTTTCTCTAGTAATATTAATAATATTTATATATAACTATATATATAATATTGCACTCACTTCATTTTACTAAGGCTACCTTGTGTTCCTTATGGTTTCTTGAGATCGTGGCCTTTTTTCGTAAATATTATTATTTATTATCACTATCATTTTTTTGCCATTTATTTTTTATTCTGAACCTCTTGTTATTTTTAAATAAATGAAAAGAGAGAGTATTGAATACACTGAATTTAGAATTTAGTCCGAAATTTAGACTGTAAGACTGTTCATTAAAATATTCTTCAAATTTGAAGAACTCGCTAGTCAAGCATTCGTCGATTCAACGAGCGATTTCTCTGAATGATGCGAGCATTGATGAATTAGCATATTAATGATAAAAAGATTCATTCGCTGATTATCCAAATTGACCGAAAAAATTGACCGAAAATTCGTTCATATTAATTATAGTAATATTCGTACATGCTTTTACATAATCGCTTTTCTTTATCTGATATTTTTTTCTAGGATCGTTCAGCACGTCTAACAAAGATTACTCTGTTGGCTTGTCTGGCAGGATAGATTTTATCATGGAGTTGCACATGAGTCGCCAGTCACTCGAATTTTTCAAAGATTATAGATTCACTGGAGTAGAACCACAGTATCGGCGTTGCGAAATGAGAACAACCCGCTAAGCCATTCCACTATCTTTCAGTTATTATCAAATAATAACAAAGAAAATTTAGAAAAATTGTCACATCATATAGCAAAAAGAGATGGTCAAAATGAGGAATATTAACAGAACAATTATGGCAAAATAATAATTATAATAATAATAATAAATATATAATATAATAATAAAAATAAAAAAAAATTAAAATTAAATTAAATTAAAAAATCTTTAAAAATTAAAATTGAAAAATTGACTCGCAAGAAAAAGAATTTTATATAAATTAAAGCAATAGATTTTATAAAGTGCCAAAACGAATAATTATAATGTTATTTAAAAAAATTATAAAAAATTAAGCGAGGCACAGTGAAATGAAATTTATTTGTTATATTAAAAAATTTGATGAAAAATTATTTAGAAATTTACTACAAAAAAGCGATAATTGCCTTCTCATATTGAATAGTTGTATTAGGTTGGCAGATTTAATAGTCAATACCACTCTTTTGACTCAACGAGTATTATATCCTTTTACCATCCATTATTCGGGAAATTACCTTGTAAATGTCCACACTCTTCAGAAATTGTCCCTACTCATAGTTGTTCAAATTTAAACTTATTTGCTTTTCTTCTCTTATTTTCCTTATTTCGATAGTTTCTTGCAAAATTGACACTTTCTTATTAATTAAAAATTTTATACGCTACTGTAGGTCTTAGCACAAGCCGACTAGTTTTCATGGTTAGCGCTCTTCATTTTGCTAGACTAGCTCTGCTGGATTGACATTTTTGATAAGTAGTCACTTGAAGGCAAATAGGTTGACAGTGCCACTCAAATTTATTAATAATAGGTTTATGCATGTCGCATGCAATATTACTCTTGTATATCAATACGATAGTCATTATCGACGCGATTATCCTGCCAAGTTAACGTGCACTGCACCACTGGTGTACCAATATTCATTGCACTACTAATAAAATTATTTTTTGAATATTTTTTAAGATGACAAATAAAATTTTAAAAATATGCTATTTTTTTCGATTTATCTCGATTTTCTTTTTAAATGAATTCTTCATCTTCATAATGTTATCATAAATTATAAAATTAAAATATAAATATAAATTAAAATATAAATATAAATATTAAAATGTAAATATAAATTTAAAAAAAGTTTTTGAAATTTTTTCCAAAAATTTTTCAAATCCAAAGAAATTAGATATCTCCTCGTCTCCTTTATTTGATAAATATTTTCTTAAAAATTTTTTAGCGTATTTTTTTAAAAAAAATTTTAGAGATAAACAAAATTTTTCTATAAATTAAAGCAAAATTCATAAATCTTTATAATTATTAATAAATAATAATAATAATATTGCCATCATTTCGTTATTTCTAACATTCCAAATTTTTCTAAATTTCGAAATAATTTTCGAAATAAACTCATTAATAGATTATTTAAGCGATAGGCTTATTTGATTCTAATTTTGGCTAAAACTTGGGAGTCGAACAATTTGTTAACGTCAAAAAACCTGGTTGGAAAAAAAAAATGAACAGATAGGGAATAGAAAGCGGATTAAAAAGTCGAAAATAGGTTTCCCTTTAGATTATAATTTATCGCAAACTATATTATATATGTCATGATTAGCGTTCGAAATGTAAAAAATTTGGTCGTTCTATCTCGATAATACTCTTTTCTAGAAAAAATCATGCAAATCCATCGTGTTTAAATTAGTCGATAATCTGTAATCTGCCGAAATATGGCATTAGCACAATTGATCAAATAAATTATACTTTAAGCCAGGCCATAACACGGCATTTATTTCGTAGGATAAATGGGTTTTTTTCGGATAAAAATGCTCAAAATTATTCGAATGAGATTTTTAAACTGCAGTCTGTAAACTTGGTCGTTGGGAAACGGTGAGACTCCTCTTAGTAAGGAGGTGAAAATCACTTTTATGCATTTTTTGACTTTTTCATTTTCTTCATAGATGGTCTTAATTTAAGCACATGCAAATTGGACGAATTTCGCACATGAAAATTCCTTTTAAAAAATGATTTGTGGTTTTTTTCTAAGAGCGCTCATTATTTCTGGCTAGGCCCACTCTACTGGCTTGTTGGGATAAACTAATTTGGCCAGAAAATCACTTAATGGTAGAAGTGTAGGCAAGACGCTAGCACTGCTTGGATTGAAAGAAAAATTTATTCCTGCTGGAATTAGAACCACAGCATCGGCGTTCGAAAAACGAAAATAACAATTGCATTTTGCCTACAAAAAAAATTTAAAACTTTTAAATGATTTGATAAATTCTCAAATATATTGAGAATTGCTTAGTTTTCATTTCTAGATGATAAATAATTTGGCGATAAAATAGACTAAAAGAAGTGCTTGGAAATGCTTATATAATTTCTAAGAGTATAAAGGATCTGCAAAAAGTTCGCAAGCCACTGAACAAGGAAATCGGTTGAAAAAACTCAAATTCATTATTCTTTTTCGAACGAAAGAAATTCTCGAGCTCTTCATAAAACAGGTTTTAGGTAAAAAAATTTATATTTAATGGAGAAAGAAGAGCATGTAAGGCAACAAAATTGCTATATGTGAAAATCACCGTGAACTTGAGTATTAATTATAGCAAATAATAGATTAAAAAGTTCCAAGTTCCAAAGGCAATTGGCGCCGAAATTTGTGTCTTTAGTGTCTATGAACTTTAAAATAAATTAATGAAATGAACTACGTCCCAATTCGCGTTAAACTCTTCAAATGCATTGTTTTCAATCAATTTGAGCAATTTTTTTATTCATTAAGAGAAAATTTTGAAGATTTAAGCATGGGACATAATTGATTGATATATTAGTTAGCCTGAGGGCAATTGGCATGGATTCTATCCGTGTATGCTTGGTGATAAAATTCGGACAGTGCTGGAAATTCCTCATCTGAGCCCTCAAACCCTCAAATGATTCTCTAGCAGAAAAATCGCATGGCAGCTGTCATTGGAGTTA